TTTTAAACATTTAAAATGACTTTTTTTTGTATTTAAATTTCAAGAAAGTAAAACCCATTACTTGCTGTTTTTTTCTGTTATTGTCCAATAAACTCACATTTACTCAGAACTCCTGGGTAGTTGGTGCTATATTTATTGCTGGGGTGTTTTTAAAAAGAAACCGAAAGAACAAAAACTATTATTAATTAACAATTTTCTCTCTTCCAGGCCTGTGTTACTCAATAAAGATAAAGGTTTAAAAATTCTAAAATCCTGACAAGAGACTTGCGTAAGGGAAGTTGAAAATGCCTAACTATTGAGTCATCGATTTAGATATTAAAAGAAACTTTGGGTTTTCAGTGGCACAGAGAGAAAGAGAAGGAATTTCAGCATGACTTGTATAAATACTCTTTCGAGTCTATGTTTTCATGATGTTAGTCAATCATATGAAGTTGCTTGAGAGTGCATTTGTTAGTTACTGGCTGGAAAAAGTGGGCCCTGGCATCCCACCCAGAAGGAATGATTTTCCCGAGAGGTTTGATTTGGGGGCTATATTTTTTTATTTTCTTATATATGTCCAAGATGTTGAGTTCTGTGTCGTTATTGTTTAAAGAACTTTTGATTTATGGCTCTATTCCAAACCTGAGGCAAGAGTGGGACTTGAGAAAGAGCACCCTTGCTGCTTGTGGAGCAGCTTTAATGAACCACTTTCAAAACAAATGAAGTCTTGCTTGAAAACTGATTAACAAAATAGACTGCCAGAGAGCTGATGTTCAATTCTCTTCAGGCTATGGAAATGAGTCTTTGGTCGACCTGGCACCCTGCCATGTCAGAGAGCCCACTGGAATCTCTACTTTGTCGTTTGCAGGAAATGGCTGGAAGTGAGTGAAAATCTGGAATCCAGGAACAGGATTTAATCATGGCATTATGAGGTCACTCTCTCTGTATCAGGTCAGCAATTGAGAGAGAAGAAGGTTGGTTTATTTATTTTGGGATGAGTGAATGGGGAAGCTCACATTGGCAAGCCTCTAAGTTCTAGTGTCTTTGGACATCATGAAGGTTTAGATTTGAGAATTTCAGTCTTTTTTTTGTTAATGGACATGCAACACTCTGAACTCCAGCAATCCTTCAGCTCCATTGAGACCTAAAATCCATTGATCCAACCACATTTTCACTATCCCTCATTCCTTTCATGTCCTCACTTCCTTCCTTACTCAGCTTAAATCTGTGATCAAATATTTTAATAACTTCATTGACTGTACTCTCAACTCCCTGTCCCTCTCTTGCTTTGATGAACTAACTTGGCTGTACTACAACCTTTGCTAAATTCGATTTTCCCCTACTCCATTCATACAGTTAAACGAAGCTGGAGAAAAACACACAATTAAACTAACTAGTCTCATTTTACAGTCCTGATCACTCATCTCTATGGACCCTTCAAGCTGCCCAGCAATCATATTGTATTTCCCTAAGCCATTCATTCATTCACTCTACTGGAAGGAGATTCTTTTATACCTTTTCTTTGCTTCTCAAACCTTCAACCCCTCACTGTCATCATGAACTTGCTCCCTATATCTGAGAAAGTGGAAACAATCAGAAGAAAACTTCCACAAGCTCCCACAACCACATCTACCTACCTACGAACATCTGGGCTCATAGACTCTGCCTTCCCTCTTGTTCTTCTGGATGAGCTCTCCACCCTCTTTACAAAGGCCAGCATCTCCACTTCCACTTCCTTGCCTACTTAGTCAAGGACAACGCTACAGCCATTCTCCTCTCTCTCCTACATCATGAATTTCCCTCTCTTTTTCCTGGTACCCTATAAGCAAACTCTCATCATTAAAACAAGAACAAAAACTCTTTTGATCCTCCTTTTCCTTCTAGCTTACCCTCCCCCCATTTCTCTCCTTCTTTTCATAGCAAAATTTCTCAAAAAAGCATTTACTTGCTGTCTTCAATTTTTGTCTTTTCATTTCTTCTCCTCTAACCCCCACTATCCACTGTAGGTACTCTTATAGCAACCACAGCAAATGCAGTGGTGGATTTTCAGTTCTTATCTTACTTGACCTACCTTCATTTAATCTTTCTTACAATCCCTCCTTAATTTCAAACGCATAAAAGAAGCTGCAAAACTGTTATTCTTGGGAACATTTGAGACCTTGCTCCTTGACATATGTTGTCGGTTTAGCCCAAATAAACTCTTATACAAATTCTCTACAGATTTGGGTGTTTCCTATATCAACACCCTTCTCAGTAAGTTGCAACTCCATCCTTCCAGTTATTGAAACAAAAAAATTTTCACACCACCCTTGACTTCTCTTTATTTAACACATCTCATTCTAATCCATTAATAAATCCTGTTTGCTCTACCTTCAAAATATATTCAAAATCTGACCACTTCTCAACATCTCTATTACTACCACCCTGGTCCAAATTACCTTCTAGCTGATCTCACTACTTCTGCTACATCTGGTATATAGCAGATATACAGGTGAGATTCAAACCCAATTATTCTTCCATTTTGAAGACTTTGATCTTTCATCTGGGCTCTGCTGTCCCTCTGCCTCTTTACCTTCAGTGGTTGCAAATATAGGCACCTCCTCTATATCTGTCCCCATTCTTTCCATTCCTCCTTAGTAATGGAATCTTAACTACATACAAATAACATTGTGACCAAAAAAAGACTGTCCTCCCCAGTCTCATGTGCAGATAAGTGTGGCCATGTGACTAAGTTCTGACCAATGAGATAACAACAGATGTTTCTGAGTGGAAATTCAAGGAAAATTTCTAAGTAATGGGAACATATAGTTCGTCCATACCATTTTTGACTCCCCATCCTTTTTTTTTTCTTGGATTGAGGACTTGGTGGCTGGAGCTCCAGCAGTGTTTTTGTATCCTGAGATGACCTTGAGGATAGAAGCCACTTGCTAAAGACAGAAAGCAGAAATATAAAAGCAGTCTGGGTGTCTGATGACTTTGTGGAGTTGCCACGCTTATCCTGGACTATCCTAGTCCATATCTGGACTCTTTTACATGAGAGAACAAAGGCCACTGTAGTCTCTTCTCTGTGACTTAAAGCTTAACATAATTCTTATTAATTATGACAATTCACCTTGTCACATATTGCTTCTGGATCTTTTTCAGAACCTAGAATCTGTGACTTAAAGCTTAACATAATTCTTATTAATTCACCTTGTCACATATTGCTTCTGGATCTTTTACAGAACCTAGAATAGTGCTAAGCACAAAACTGGTTCTCAACAAATGGCAGTGACTGGTTGCTTACGATAAAGCAAATTTCCTCAAAGTTTTGTCTGACAATTCATTCCTATCATTATCAATAATGACATGATTGAAGTTTTGGATTCGAGTTTGTCCTGACACTTCTAAGGAAACTTCTTTTGTGTTGAATTATCCATCATAATTCAATATGATTGGTCAAAATGAGTGGTTAACATGATAAACATGCCAAGCTGTATAGGACTTAAATTAATAATATAATTTGTATAAAATATAAAGTATAGCTTATAAAGTAATAAGACTGAGTCCGCAGGTGTTCCCTAAAATAAGCTCCTTTACCTTAAGACACTAAATATAGATGAAAATACTATTACCACTCTCAGTTTTTTCCTCTGAAACCATCACAAGACAAACTTCTGTAAAATACAAACTTTGGATCTTTACAACAATTTTGACATTACAAAATCTATACGAAGAAGAAAATAATGATTGTCCATTGTGTCAGAATTTTAGTGATGTGATATTTTGACTTACAGATGACTTAAAAGAATACAATTTATAGTCTTGATCTTTCCTGTTATTGAGAGGTCTTAAACCTCCAAACCACAAATCTACCTCTCAGGCTTTGAATTTGCAGGCCTAGTTAAGCAGATAAAGAGTTGAATCTTACAGGTGTGGAAAGTTGATTGGGAGATGGTTTATTCTATGATAGTTCCTCTTGAGATTCAGCCCATGGGATCTGGACATTATTCATCTCCAAGATGAATTCTGATTGATAGAAAGAACATTCCTTTAAGTGCTATCTTTTACTTGGCAGTCTCTGGGCAAGTTATTTAACCTCTCAGATTGATTTTTTTTTTTTTAATCTGTAGAACAGATACTAAAAAGAGCTATTCTATCAGACCGTTGAGATTATAAAATGAGAGAATATATGTGAAAAGGCATAGTTCATAGTAGTCACTCAATAAATATTTGTTCATTCATCTTGATAACATATTACATTTTATAAATGCCTTTGAATTTTTGAAATGCTTTCGCATACTATACAGCTATTGTCAAAATACCAAGCGCCAATTAACACTTTCTCTAAGAGCTTTTGGATGGTTGTATTTTAATTATTTTAGGATGTGACCAACTTGTGGAGTTGGGTTAGTTGGCTTCATTATCCTCCTGCAACATTTCCTTTGCACTTGTTGATTTCCATGGCTACATGATGATTACTTCCTGAGAAACAAAAGAACACATGTGTTTAGAAGTAAAAAGGAAGCATACAGATCACCTATTGAACCATAACCCCGTAAAACCTGGTATAGTTGGAAATTTTTCTTTTTATCATAGTGTGTTTGAAGTGAAGGAATTCACATTAGTCATTTGTTCAGTTTTTACTCTACAATAGGTGTCCTTGTAAGGGTACAGATTGTGTAAGGCCTTATAAACCAAATATATGAGATAAACGCTTAACAACATCAAAATTTCTGAGTAGTGACCAATCCAGAAAAGTTTTCTAGGTAATGGGAAATTTGAAGACAAAGTATGAGTGGAGGAAGAAATAACTCACCACTCTAAAATACACTGGTTCCTTTTTACTACATTAATTAATTGATTAATTATTTTAGCAAACATTTGTTGAGGACTTCTATGTATGAGGTCTTATACTAAGTTCTCTGAGAACTGTGAAGATGAATTAGGCCCAGAGGTAGTCTTCAAATAATTTATAGCTTAGTATTGAAAATAAAGTATATATGCCCCTGTCTAAATTATGTCTTACATGAAGTACAATTTAGGACCTAGGGTGGCTTTGAGGAGGGAGCTGTCTGTGTTGGATCTAGAAAAATACATAGAAATGTATTCACCAGACAGATGGAAAGGCATTCTAGACAATAGGAATAGCATCTACAAAGGCCCAGAAGTGACCAGGCTCAGAGTTAATAGATCAGAGATAGGACAGATTGCTTTGGAGAGTAGGAGCAGATTAAGAATATCTATGTTGGGGATATCAGCACTATTAGTAGGTGGGTGTTTGGTGTATGGAGACTGGGAAGAGAGCGCTATAGACTGAATATGTCCCCTCAGAGTTCATATGTTGAAACCTATTCCCCTATGTGATGGTATTTGGAAGGTGCGACCTTTGGGTGGTGATTATGTCCTTAGGGTAGAGCCCCCATGAGTGAGATTAGTGTCCTTATAAAAGAGACCCCAGAGAACTTCTTTGTCCCTTCCACCAGGTGAGGACACAGTGAGAAGATGGCTATTAATGGACCAGGAAGCAGGCTCTCGCCAGACACCGAATATGCCATTGCTTGGATCTTGGACTTCCCAGCCTCCAGGACTGCGAGAAATAAATGTTTATTGTTTAAGCTACCCAGTCTATAGAATCCTTCTATAGCAGCCTGAATGGACTAGGAGGAAAGTTAATGACTTCAGTTTCGAACATGTTGAATATTAGATGCTAGTGGGACAGATTATTCTGGTGGAGATGGTATGCAGGTTGTTAAAAATGAAGATTGGAGCTTAGGAGAAAAGTGCAATTGAAGATTTAGATTTGGGACTTGTCAATACATGAGTAGAAGATGAACTCACAAGAGTCTAGAGAAAGAAGAAAAGATAATTGAGGACAGATTCCTTGGAAACGACTACATTTAAAGGACTGACTGAGGAAAAGAAACCTGGGAAGGAGGCTGAGAAGAAGCCAGGGAGATATGATGAAACCACAAGAAAATGGCAGCTTTCCCCTTTCTCCACAGTATAGTCCTTCTTTTAATGATCGTTGGGGAATGTTAAAGCAGGGGAGAAAAAAAGAACCCACTAAAGGTGCATTTAATCAGATCTTTTTTTTGTGGTCCTTTTCTAGGATTTGCGGTTCTTTTTCTGATGTTGATTCTTCTCTTCACCTCCAAAAATAAATTCCAGGAACCTAGAGAAATGGAAGATTCTAGGATTCAGGTAAAAAGGATGGTCCTGGGTTGTGAAGCGCCAATGAGCCAGGAAGGTGGTGTCACATGTTGGTTATGAGCTCTAGAGTTAGACTGATCTGCGTTCAGAGCCTGACTCTGAGGTCTGAAGGTGGGTTCTCCCAGCAGGTGTGTGTGCCATCCTGGGTGTGGACTGCAGGTGCCTCACTCCCAGACCCCACCCACTCTCAGGTCACTTGGAATAAAGGAGAAATTTCTCCACTGACCTGTGGACTTCTCAAGGGCTCGGTAATTCTAAGTTTTTAAATATATAGTTTTCTTTTTAATGATTAATGAGTAAACTAACAAAACATAAAGGTCTGTATATAGGAAATAACTTTATAATAAGTATATGAGGATTGTAGTCTCAACATTTTTATGGGTCACTGACATTTTCAAAACTCTAACCACTGAGCATCAGAGACACATCTACATGTGTCCATTTGAAAAGGAACAGAAGAACAATACTACTCACCATAAAATTATAATGCCTTTGATTTAAAAAACTCAAAAACTTATCCTCAATGGTTCATAGTACCTTTCCTAAGGCTTCTACAGTGCTTTTTATGTCCTGGCATTGTTTTTGAAGACCTTATTTGCATTAATTAATTTAATCTCCCCAACAAATTTATGGGATAGGTCCTTATCTATTATGTAAATAAGGAAACTCCAGGCACAGAAAAGTGCCCAAGGTCAGATAGCTAATAAGTAGCAGAGGTAGGATTTGAACTTAGGGAGTCTAACTCCAGAGTCAATGCATACAACTGCTGCACTACAGAGAAGCCTACTTTGATTCTGGTACTTGACTATATAACTGGGCCCACTTTGTTAATCACCCAGCACAGAAGGAAATTTACATTGTGCATGTAAACTGAGGCTTTCTCGCCAGGGCTCTGGTTGGCACAGGTTGTGGGGTGGGTAGGTGGTGGGAGATATATTTGTGTTAAATCAGAACAAGTATGATAATTATTTATACTAATGGGAATCATAATCACACAATGATCTTATTTGACAGTTCACCTCTCCAATTCCATAGACAGGTGACTTCAGCCCCTTCTTAAAGCTAAGAGAGAGGCTTGGTGCTTACGGACAAAGGCCAAAAGTGTGTATGCTAGGGAGTCTCCAGGGAACACACTGACCCTGCCTGTCCTCTATGATCCTGCTAGAGAGTTTTCTGAGGGCCCCTTGTGTGAATAGCTTAATCTTTTAGTTGGTCTCCAGGAGCCCACACTGATTGTCCCTTATCAGAGGGCTGACTGAGAAAAATCTCAGGAGTTGGATAGAAAAGGCTCCAAACCATCAAGTAGAAACATTGCTGCTGCCTTGTTGGGAAATGAATACAAAATAATTTGGAATCACTCTAAGGATTGTATCCAACATATGCTATAGTATAGACGTTTTAAAAAATTTTCAGAACAAAATATTTTATAATATTATGCTCAGTAATGAGGACATTTTACAACTTAAATATATTTAATATCACTTATAGATGAAAATAACCAAAAACACGTAAAAATAAATCAGATTAGGCTTTGTCTTTTGATTAATGTTTTTTTTTTAACCGAACAGGAAAATACTCATTAACAAAAGTTTTGAGAACAATAAAGTAAATGGAGGTTATTAATATGAAAATATTGTCAATTGTTCCTCCCGTAGAAATCTCCCTGGACAACCCACTTCCTGAAAAATGACTCAGCAAAAGCTACCAAGAAGACTTGTTCACATTTAATACAATTGTTTATGCCGGCATTTATTTCTTATCTATAAAGGCCCCTTGTGATTGATGATTCATGTTTCTTTTCAATTATGGGCTTTGAATGCAAACTATTTCATAATGTAAACAAATGGCTTCAGTATTTAAAGCAAAACATTTCCGTTTGTTTAGTACTATTTCCTATTTTATGCCTGAAACCATATTTTTGAGGAAATTGTTTGGTTTTAAAAGAGGGAAAAGAGAATGATGGTTTAGGAAAATGTGTGCAGAGGAGGGGTGCACTTGCTATAGGCAGCCTGCCAGACATGTGTGGATGGGGCACATGTTAGCCTATCCTCTCATAGCACGGCCCAAAGAAGTTAATGCGCTGCATTCTGACTGTAAAGATTCTGGTTTTCCTGTGGGAGAAAAGGGTATCTTTGGCTTCTTGATGGTAGGCCTTGTAGCATATCTTTAATTTTTCAGTTCTACTGAAGAGATCTGAACTACATGAATAGAGGATAAATGAAATAGTTGCCAAAAATACTAGAAAAAAAGAGAGCAAGGTATGTAGTTAAATGACATTTTACATTTGCTAATATAAAAGATAAATTAAAACCTAGAGCATGAGCCAGTTTCCATAAAGTATGTGCCAAAACTTGACCACTAGGTAGCACCATAATCTAGTTCTATGACAGTAGGGCTGAGGCTCTTGATTCTATATTGATCAAGATAAAAATGTTTAAGATTTACACTTGGGAAAAGATCAACAAGGGCACTTGAAAGTTTTTCAATCAGAAGACCCTAATATAACAGAAGAGGTATGAAGGTCAAGTATTTACTTGGTAGAGCTATTTCTACTATGATAATTATGGTTATTGAAATCTCAGAGAAACAGACAATGCAGGCAGTAGGAGAGATTTTACCTTGCCTTCTCTTAATATAACCTCAGATTTGCATGAAGATAGAGAAAAGAAATAATCAGTAAGTTAAAACAATTAGTCCAGAATTTTTTTGTCAAATTGGGAAAATCTCAGTTTAAACACTACTGGTATTTGTTTCAGAAAGTCATTATTGTTTTCATCATTCCTCCTGAAGTCTTCAATTCATCCAGCAATCACTCAGCACATTGCCCACTGTGTGCCTAGCATCATGCTAGATGCTTTGAGTCTAAAGAAGCATAAAGCAGATTCCTTGCCTTCATGTAGCACATAGTTCAGGAAGGTATATAAATGTGTAATGAAAATAATAATACCAAAGGATAGAGCTCTGATGAAGAAATGTTCAAAAGAATTATGGGAGATAACAGGAAATCACTCTTCATAACAAGGTGGCATTTGAAATAGGCCATGAAAAACCAAAATCATAACAGCTGACACTTACTAATGCTCATCATGTGCTAAACACTCTCCAGAGTTCTCTCTCTACCTAATAAATGCTTACAAGTCATGTAATCTTCATAACAATCATATGAGGGAGATGATGCTATTATTATCCCCATGTTTACAGGCAAGTAAACAAGTTTGGGGAGGACATTCTAGATAAAGGAAGCAGCATGTA